TATAAAAATTTCCTATAGAAAATTTAACAAGACAATAGGAATTAATGGGTACCTCATCTCCTCTTTTGAACCAAGCAATGTTATAAGGTTGTGAGTGCTTTACCTCCTTTAGTCGCAACTTGTCTATGGCCTCTTTTGACACCATGTTCTCGTAACTGCCACTATCGATGATTATGTTGCACGCTCGCCCATTACAAGTACACTTATAGCGATCTCAGCCAACCATCTTCTTGTGGGGCTTTAGGAAGAGAGAGACCTTTGGACCAACAACATCTCTCCTGGTCCATCGCAACCGCCTCTCCTTGTTCATCTTGACTGACCTCTTCATCATACACTGACTCTTCAAAATTAGCAAATGGTTCCCCTTCTATCTCACCACTCTCCTCGAACTTGACAATATTAACATGTCATCGAGTAGTAGGCTGTAAACTCCTTGATCCCGACTGAGGGAGTTGTAAAAACCCGTAGGAATCTAGAACAACCACTACAAGCCCTATAACCACCCAAAATCTCAAAACTAGTACCCTAAGATCTAGACCACCTTTCACGGTCCACCATGAAGGCCCAACCCTAAGCCCGAAACTCTGGAAAGACCCCTAATAGGTACAAAATGGCTCTAAGACAAGAGGAGATATGGAACAAATCGCCCAAGATCAATGAAGGACTAGCTTGAGTTCAACACCTCCACAAGGAACAACAACATCGAGGGTGGCCTCACCAAAGTGTCGGCATGGCGCTAAGGTCACTAGACCAGCAACACTCAACAGATGGGGGATCAAGTCACAAAATTGACACCCTCATAATGCAACTGTAGAGGATCATGATTACACCCGAATTGGGGGTAGCAGTGTTAACGTTAATACCAGCATTGTCAACTCCTTATGGGCTCAAATTGCTGCAAATTGCCAAACATCGAAATGCTCAAATTACGACAAAAAGTAACCATCATTGCCCAGACTATTGGGTACCATCGTCCAATGTAGGCACCAATGATTTCATTTTCTCATTGGCCAAAACCACCGCCTAATGCCAAAACTCAGGATGGCTAGATTGCGGCGGAAAGCAACCATCATTACTTGGACAATGATGGTTCTTGCGTCAATGATACAACCAACAACGACTACATGAATTTTGAAGGTGAAATACTAGTAGCAGCGTACAACGCTGCTGGTGGGGTCGTTGCTCATCTGACATGCCACTGCTCAAGATCATGACGACCGTAAATCGAGGGGTTGTGTATTACATAACCTATACTCATGTCGTGTTAATTTCATCACCAACATCTCCATTTTTAAATGATTTAATGGCGACAAAACATGACAACACTGCTAGTAGCGTCGATGAGGCACTAGTGGCGTTGATAACAAACAACCCAAATTTAATCTCAGACTTTGGACGATGGTTAAAGGAGCCATTTATTTATAAATAGGGGTCGAACCCGCCAATTTTTAGGACAGGATTTTGGATCTAAACTGAAACTCTACCGCACTATAGACTAGATCCTCGAGCTTTGCCAGACCGTACCCAGTACCAACCCTAAATCCCTTCAACCTAGTAGGCCTAGATCTTAACCTAGCATACCTAAACCCAGATTTTCATATTTACCAACCCTTACAACTAGAGCCTCGATCACCTTGCCCGATGGATCCCGGAAGCTTGGAAAAAGTCGGCGCATCCATCTTGATCCTAAACTGACACGTGCTCTAGGTGTAGGGCTTGGGGGACTGACTTATAGTACGCCCCTCTTTTGTTGTCCTTTATTTCATTTTCCATTTGTTTCTAGAACCCCTTTCTCAATCTCTTCCCCTTTTCTTGAAAAAACCCCATCTCAGAATTTTTTGGTGAGTTTCCAATTTTATCATCCTAAAACTTGTCATTGCTGGTGGTCTGTTTTGAGGCGGTCTTGTGGCCAATCCTTTGTACGGATGCCAATTCGATGGGACTCATTACCTACCACTCATCTCTCAACGAGTTTAGGTCTGAAAATGATGCGAGGTTACAATATGTTGAAATTTTCGGGTGTATAAACATAGCCGATGGGCACCCTGCCACCTTGTGACCCTTTTCATTACATCGAAAATACCATATATCAAACTGCTCATTTGTTTGAGCTTGTAATAGAGTATTGTGCATGGACACAAGCCTCGATCAATCTCCTAACGTACTTTCCTTACTTTAGGCCAATAACTCCCCGGATTGGGGGCGTCACCTCTTGGGTTGCGGCGTACCCACTTCTGGCGTTCAAGTAGTACCCCTTTTTTGTTTCTCCTCGGCTTGCAATGCAACTTGATATATCATTTTTGATTGAGGCAAGTGTTGCAGGAGAGTTTATATTGGATTTGAACCTGCAAAATCAAGATATACATTGCCACTCGTTGCTCCTCTGTCTTATCCAACCCTGAGCACAAGGACTATCAATGGAAGTCTTCCATAAACTCACGGACTGGCTTTGATCCTTAATGTAATTGATGGAACTGTTTATTCACGGTTTGTGCAAAGTTTGGAGGAATAAATTTTTCACGCAACTAAATCCTGCCTTTTCCCTTTCGCAATTTTGCTTCTTGAACTTGATCCCACCAAATGGATGCAAGTCCCCAAAGTTTAATTGCAGCTAACTGTACTTTCTTTGAGTCTGACAAAGCCTTCATGCTCAACCAATCTAAGTACTCTTCCGGTGATAAACTACAAGAAAATTTAAGTAAATCAACTTTAATACCTGAGTCATCATCACGGTGTCGTGCTCGCCTACTCCTTCTGATTTATATATTGGAGTCATCAACCGGCTTCTGCCTTCGTCAATACTTTTGTGAACCCATTCTTTCGCTTGAATCAATCCCCTATTCTGAGCTAAGTAAAGTCGTCTCCATCTCCAACTCTCGATACTCTCCAAACAAGCCATCATTGATGGAATCTATGGTTGGGGATCTTCTCGTATTCTGTTGATTTTTATGTTGCAAAGTGTAGTCACTGGCTCCATTAGATTGTGCACAATTTACGCTAACCTATCTAATTCACGACCTACATTTCTTCGGCTATAACCTTTACCATAATCAACCATCAGCTCACCAACCGCGGATCTAATACCAAATTGTGCAAAACCAGCACGGAAAAGTGTAAATCCAAGGCCGATTGTGCAACAACAATCTGCCTTTCATGTTCTCGATCCAAGAAATGAAGAGGAAACGATCTTCAACCCTAACTCTTGCCACTCAAGGTGCTCGCAGTAGACAAGGATGATATTCCAACTCAAGGTACTCGAGGTACACAAGGATGCAAACTCTCTTTCTCTCTACAACCAGTAGAGGGAGGAAGTTTTTGTTTCTTTGAATAAATTACCAACAAATCTAGCCAACTCTTATAACAACATTCTATATATATAAAATACCCCTAACAAACTGTGAAAATGACTAAATTACTCATTTCATATTGTCCCATACTTACGGGCAACCTTCATGCACCTAAGTTTCTAAGCATGATGCCAAATTTTAATGCATTGAAATTACTACACAATTTTGACTTTTGGACTCATGAAAACTTTCATAAAATAAATTACTTGTCTGTAAACCAAATTCCCTATACTTCAACAAATCCCGACATGACCAACTAAGAAAATATGAGAAACTCATCTTAAGGTTGAAAACAAAGAGACTGACAAATAAATCCTGTGACAAAAAAAGAATATGAAAATGACAATCTCTTCTCAGTGTCCAAAAAGAACTTGAGGATAATAAAACTAAATCTAAACACATCTTAACCAATTCTAGATATCAAAACTAAATAAATAACCTTAATCTTCTAATATGAGAAATGATCTTATAGGACCCTCCCTCACCCATGTGTGTAGGACCCCAAATGATCACCATTAAATTTGGCACGGATTTATAGAAAAGTCAAGTCCCGCGCCCATGTGATAACTTTTTTAGAGATCAGTGCCAACTTTAATGGTGATCTTTTGGGGTTCTACACAAATGGGTAGGGAGGGTCCTGTAGGATCATTACTCATCTAATATATATATATATCCTTTCCTTCAAAGCTCACACCCACCTTTTCAATGCCTACCTCTCTATTCTTAGAAAGAAATAACCCATTTAAAAAAATTAAAAATTAAAAAATTCCGAATTTTTTTTATTTGCATCAAGTTCTTTTAAGCAATGATAGTGGACACATAATCTGGACAATACAAGGACTACTGCCGTTGGGACTTAAATTTTGCGTGCTTAACCTTGATAACTAGTTTCAATACCCGGAAAAGGGTATTTCACTAATGTAAATAAATGGTGTAAAGATCCACTCTCACGCTCCTCGAGATGGAACAAGGTTATGGCGGGAATATGCTTTTTTGTATTTTCTCCACAAATAAAAAAAAAGTGGAAAAACACACCTTTAAATAATCATGTCCCAAATTATATTAGAGGGTCAAATCTAATTGTTCATCTAAATGTTTAGAACCTCAAAAGTTAACCCTTTTCCCAAACTTAATCATCGAGTGATCCTTAAACTTAGAATCCAAATTTCCAGATCTAAATAGGTCCAACTGGGTGTTAGCAACAGAACAAGTGTGTGAAATGGAACAAGACTTTATGGTATTCCGGGATCACCAAAACTAGACGGACCATGTGTGATAGGTATCGGCTCCACCACCTAATATGCATCTTATCATGCATTACACCATAGTTTCACCTTTCGGATTTTACGTCTTTTGTTCACTCTTTACACTTTATTCGAGGTTTTTCTCTCTCTCATCTCTTACGGGGGGCATTTGATATCGGTGAATATATCTGAGAAAGTCCCCGACTCTCTCATCTAGTATAACTTTCCCTAGTTTGAAAACAGTAAAAAGTTGAAAAGTCGGAACCACTATATTCCCGAAACACTGCTTTGGTAGGGAAAATTACGGGACATGGATACCCCCGCTCTGGGATTATAACTTTCCCTTGTTTGAAAGCTGTAAAAACTTGAAAAGTGGGAACCACTATATTCCCGAAACACTGTTTTGGTTGGGAAAATTGCGGGACATGGATACCCCCGCTCTGCAACTTTCACGCACACTTTACGGACAAAGAAGTTGTGACGGGCAAAAACTCATCCACGCAGGGTACCCCTGGTTCGCTCACCTCTCTGAGAAGAAAAAACTCACCGCCCCTCTCAGAAGAAAAAACCCTAGCGACTCAACCATCCATCTCTCTAATCTTTTCTCACTCAAAGCCCTAGCAACTCAATCATCCATTGCCACTCGCCCCAACGAAGCTCAACCCTTCAGCAATTCCTGTCCTCCTCGCCTCTGGTCTATTCCCCTCTTCGCCCCCATCGCTGCAAGCTAAGAGCTCAGAGAAAGCTACAGTGAGTCCTTTTTAATTTTTAATTTTTTAGAGCTCGAAAAAGATAATCCCAGATCTAAATGAGATTTTATTTCTGATTTAGGTTCTTTATTTTTCTGATTAAGCTCAAACAAGATTAACTCCAAGTCTACAGACAGCTTTTTTATTTGATTTTTTGTTTCTCTCTTTTTCCTGGTTATGCACAAAGAAGAAAACCCCCATATTGACACAGTTTATTTGTATTTTATTTATGTTTTATTGTTCTAGTTTGTCATATAAATTTTGATGTCCGTTTTCTGCTCATTGAGAAGTATTTGGGGCACGAGAATTTGATTTTGTGTCTATTATGTAATTTTTTGGGCTTTAGGTGTTAGATTAATTGATCATTGTTGCTATCGTTGTTGGTGTTGTTTTTGTGCTGTGCCATTGAACTAATTTTCATTTGGTTTTATTTTGTAGTTAATAATATAAATATTATTTTATTCTTTTTTATTTTTATCCATTGATGAAAGCTTATTTCGTGGTTGTATTATGCAATAGGATTTGATATCTATAAAACTGGGTTCTATTCTATTTGCTTATATAATTTATGGGATTTTCTGTTATTTGGTTTTTGTACCCATTGGGTTGAAATTTATGGAGGAATATCCTTTGCAGAATGAGATATTCTTGGGTTTATCTGGTTACTTTTGCCAAGGTCTGGGGTTTAATTTTGTTATGCTGTTGTTGAAATAGTATTATCTCCCATTGGGTAATAGGAAGCCGTGAAATTGAAATTTTAACTTTGTTTACTTCATTATGTATGTGACAAGATCATTCTAGATTGAATTGGGATGTTTGTCATATAATTCAGTTTGGAAGTTGTAAGTTTGAACTATTCTACCTGCTTTGGTTTGTTTTAGTTTAGTTTCTGCTTTAGATGTTGTGTGGCATGTTGATTTCTCACGTTCTGGTTTTGAAATTTGCTCTTTATTATGCTTGTATACCAAGCATTTAGAGTTTTGAGATTAGTATATTTAGCTCTACCAAGCAGGAGATATGATGTTGTTCTTGTAGTAAAATTATTTGTGATACTTCTCTGATTTTAACCTCTTAGTTCATATATAGTTATTTTTCTTTCTTTGTAATATTCATAGGCAATTTAATTCTTTTAGTCTCTATATTCTTTTTTCATGTCTCTTGCTCATTGATTTCTCATAACACAAAACCTGCAGAAAATGCATTAGATAGGTAGTAGCAAGAAAATCTTATTAAAAAATGTACATCTGACTATTGGAGTTTTCAGATCATCAAAAATGAAGATTACGGCATTGTTGCTCATGAAATGCAGCAACGATGAGGGATCTGAGCCTCTAGTTCTTGCAAGTGCTTCGGATGTTAGCCAATTTGGTTACTTTCAGAGGACTGGAGCCAAAGAGTTCATCCTTTTTGTTGGCCGTACAGTTGCGAAGAGAACTCCACCTAGTCAGAGACAATCTGTTCAGCATGAAGGTCGGTTTGTTTCTCTAATTGTTTTCTTGTGATAAATTTTGAGGGATTTCTTGTTTTTGTTGTTCTATGAGTGAATTGTTAGAAATGGAGAGAATTGGATGATTTTGACTGGAAATTGGGATCATATGAACTGGACCTTCTATTTTCACTAAAAAAGATCTGAACCGTCAATTTGACCTATTTGCATTATGGGATAGATTATCGGAAATTTTCTCTGTAGTGCAAATTGTTTAAATCTTTACTTTATTTTCTATCATATACCTTTTTTAGTGGTAGGGATTTTTTGGTTATTCCATGCATGGATTTTATTTATTTCTTCATTTCGGATCTGCCATTTTTGGATCTGACTATTTTGAGTGTGATTTTTCTAAGATATTGTTGCTTTTTTCAGGGTTTTGTGGTAAGGAATTGGAGCATCTTATTGGACATGAAAATTTTCCTTTAGAAACAAGATCGGAGCTTGTCTTTTTCCTTAATTTTTTAAATTTATTTTTCGTATTCAGTTTGGCTGTGGATATTGAGTTTTTTTTCTAAAGGTGATATGCTGTTCTGTTTTATCACATGTAGGTTTCCAAAGATGTGGTTAAGGGATCAATAGTTTTTGAATGTTTATTTTTTTGTTGATATCTGTACTTTTGGATTGTTTTGTTTTTGGGAATGCATTTGATGCATAATTGGATTATTTGAGTTTGTATGACTTTTTTAGGGGGACCATTTATACTTGTTTGGTGGTTTTGGAATGTTATTCTCTTATATGGGAGTATAAGTAACAGTTATATCAATGAGCTACCAAAAAAGAAGAAGAGAGTAACAGTTTACAGATGGGATTATATTTTGAGGGGTTTCTTGGAAATTGATACAGGTTTTATGGTCTGATGCGGTTCTCTTTTAAAAGAAGTTAACTGCTATTGTTCAAAAAGGCAATCTTGAGATATCACAATGAGCTTGCTAGATGGAATAAAAAAAATACTGACATTTGATTCTAGGAGGCTACCATTCTCGTGACTGTTTTCTGGTTCATATATGTTGCTTTTCTATAAATTGATGGTCATGTAGCCCCCAACTTGACTCTCTTATCCAAGGATTATCCCTTTGAGGGAGAAAAAGGGCCATTTGGTACAACAATTGGTTCTCTCAATT